TGCATGGGGCTGTGTACAGGAGTTGGTAGTTGAGATGGGACAACAAAGCAGTATGTTGAAGGTGGGGTTTTTTTTTAGTGTAAAACTGTAAATTGAAGTTTAAAGGCTTCATTATGGTGGAAAAGAGCAGCTGTAATAGTTTAGGTTTTAAAATATTAATTTGCTAACATCACATTTTACTTATCCTGTCAAGGAGGATGAAAAAAATTACTTAGTATTACTGAAGAAATCCTGTGGAATTTTTCTTTGGTGCTTTATGCTTGTATTATTTTTGAATATACTTGTGGTATATTCAAAAAGAAGAAAATTAAGAAGAAAAGAAGAAAATTAACTCTATCCTAGCAAAAACGGGACAATACTGAAGCAGTTTTTAATTAAAATAGGACTTTTTTTCCTTCTCTTCTCTTTGATGAATCACAAAGGAGAAGGTTAATCAAATCAGCTCTGAATAGCAGACCCACAATTTAGAACCATTTATCAAAATAATAATTGCAAACATACATAGGATAAATTAATTTTTCATGGCTTCTCTTCATAAAGCAAGTGCTTATGGTGTCAATGATGATCTTTCCTCTTTAAAGGGACACATGTTTTCCAAAGCATTTTGAGTAGAAACTAGTGAATGTAGAAGAAAGCTAGGAATGGGTTCTGACAGCCATAGAACCACAGAATGGTTTGGGTTGAAAGGGACCTTAAAGCTCATCCAGTTCCAACCCCCCTGCCATCAGCAGGCACACCTTCCACTAGACCAGGTTGCTCAAAGCCTCATCCAACCTGGCCTGCAGCACTTCCAGGGAGGAGCAGCCACAGCTTCTCTGGGCAGCCTGTTCCAGTGTCTCACCATCCTCTGGTTGAAAAATTTCCTCCTGGTATTTCATGTACCCCTCTTCCAGCTTAAAACCATTTCCCCTTGTCTTATCTCTATCTGCCCTTGGCAAAAGTTGCTCTATCTCCTGTTTCTAAGCTCCCTTCAAGTACTGGGAGGCCACTAGAAGGTCTCCCCGGATCCTTCTCTTCTCCAAGTTTAACAAACCCAGCTCCCTCAACCTTTCTTCATAAAAGAGGTTCTCCAGCCCTTTGATCATCTTTGTGGTTCTCCTCTGGACCTACTCCAACAGCTCGACATCTTTCTTGTGTTGGGGGCTCCAACACAAGATCTTGTGCTTTCGTCTTGATGCAAATTAATAACAAAATCATTAATATTCTCAATTTAAGAGTAAATACAGATGAAGGTTTCAGTTCTGAGAGCTGATCATAGGGACATCTTCCTTTACCTGTGGAGCTCCCCTGCCCACGGAGTGTGGCATGTTTGATTGTAATTTTAAAGATGAACTTCTTTACAAACTCTTGTCTGCTTTGATGCCTTTGTCGAAGAAGTAGAGGACAGGAGGGGCTGATTCCTGGGCCAAAGCTTTGAGGTCAAATAACCCCTTGATGACATGAAATGGCAGAAGAGGATGTTTGAAGTGGGGGGAAGACGTAGGAAAAGATGAACATCTTCAGTTGCCCAGGGTTGAAATCTTGTCAGATCTTAGAGATAAATGGTCCCCCAAAGCTACCCAGGATACCTGTTTAATAGGCAGAATGTGCAGGAAACACAGTCCCTACTGTTTTATCAAAAGACCAGATCTAACAAAACTTAGATACCAGTGTGTTGCTCCTAGATATTGAACCATTCACTTTGCTGTTGTTTGTAAGAGATGTAAATCAATGTCTGGACTATTTGAAGGTGTTCAAAATTGGTTTGCTCTTTTGAAAATGGAAGAGTGTTCATCTTAGTGTGCTGCCAGAGTTCTCAGCAAGATTGCTGCCTTTAGTCTCCTTAAATGCTGTCCTCACATTTGGATACAGCTGTATTTCCTCCCTCTTGGGTTTTTTTTTTTTCGCCTGTGATATTAAGAATAATTTACAGCCTGCTTACAAAGGGGCTGCAGCTTAATGACGGGGACCTGTCCTCTAAAAGGTTGTTTAGGCTGTGAAATCTCTGCATTAAACTCAGAGCAACAAGAAACTTCAGTAGTTTTCTGTTTTTTTTTGTGTGTGGGTTGTTTTTTTTTAAAAACCCAATAAATTAAAACCTTTCTTGCTCTAGCATTTCCAGTGTTGTCTTTTCCACAGAGCTCATTTTCTGTGTTTGTTCCTGGCATGCTGTGAGCTTGTTTTTTGTTGTTTTTTATTTTTTTTTTTAGAATAACGAGTAGCATTAACAAAGTGGGCAGAGCATGGACGTGGTGCACAAAGTGCTTTGCAGCCTCGTAGGTTGAAAGGTGCGTGATAGATGAGAGCTTTGAGCAGAAATATGTGTGCATCCAGTTGTGAACTTCTAATTGGTGTTATTACTTATGTGTGTTTGAAATATCTCCTACATTATCCTTGCTTCACTCCCCACCCCCCCACCCCACCCCGGGTGTTTCTAGTTTCTTGCCCCCTAACTTGCCCAGATTTTGGCCAGGAGGGAGGTGATCATGCTGCTCTAGTCTGCACTGGTGTGGCCTCATCTCTAGTATTGGGCACAGTTTTGGGCACCACAGGATAAAAAGGATCTAAAGCTGCTGGAGAGTGTCCAGAGGAGGGACACAAAATTGGTGAAGGGTTTAGAGGGGAAGGGTTTGATGAGAGGCTGAAGGCACTTGGTTTGTTCAGCCTGGAGGAGACTGAGAGGAGATCTCATGGGGGTCTAGAACTTCCTCCCAAGGGGAAGAGGAGGGGCAGGCGCTGATCTCTTCTCTCTGGCCACCAACGAATGCCAGGAGCAGAGGGAATGGCAGGAAGATGTGTCAGGGGAGGGTGAGGTTGGCCATGAGGAAAAGGTTCTTGAGGCAGCCAGAGGGTGGTGGAGCACTGGAACAGGCTCCCCAGGGAGGTGCTCATGGCACCAAGCCTGACAAGATTCCAGCAGCATTTGGCCAAGGCCCTGAGGGACATGGTGTGAATGTTGGGCTTGTCCTGTGCAGGGACAGGAGTTGGACTGGATGATCCTTGTGGGTCCCTTCCAACTCACAACATTCTATGAATTTAATTGGGAAAAGTGTGTGTGAGACGGGAAAAAAGTGCTATTTGATCTCCCTGTTGTTGATTACCTAAAACCTGATGTCATTCTCCACTGGGCCGTGTGATGACCTCAGAGGATCAGTTCCCACCTTGCTCTTACCTGGCAGTGTCAATGATGCTCTTAGGTTGAAATGTAAGAGTGTGTGGACAGTGAGTTTGGTTTGAGTTAGAGGTGCTGTGTTTGGGATCAGGCTGATGGAAAGGAGGAGTTTCTGCTGTGGAGGTTGGTGAACGCTGACACTGAAATAAATCTCATCTCTTTATCGTGATGCTTTTTATAAAGTGGCACCATACGGGCTCTTTGGGACATTGTTTTCTTGATCCTGTGCTAACTTAGGCAGTGCTGATGCTCTTCTGTTCAGTGTGTCATAGCTTTAGACAGCTACAGAGCTGCATGCTACTTGTGACATGCCATTTTTTCATGTCACTTAACTCCTTCTGGTGGCTCTTTTGACATTTATTCAGGTTCTTGGATAAGTTTTCATTTAAATAAAAAAAAAAATAAAAATCTGTTGAGCAGCAAAAACCACGGGAGACATCTGTCATCCAACAGCCCTTCTCAGAGTTCAGGAAGCAGTGAGATGAAACAGCCGTTAGGGTTTAATTTCTACGCAGGGATATGGTGTGGTGGGTGGCACACCTTCAGCCCTCGATTTTTAATGCTGTTTGTCCCTGTACCGTCACTCCGGCTGTTAACAAGCCACCTAACTGTAGATCTTCCAAGATGCTTTAGTTGAGTTTTGCCTTCAAGACACTTACTTCACAGAAATGTTTGAATATATTTATTAAAATGTTTCACCCAGTCTTTAACAAAGCCATGCTTTTGTTGTTGCTGGGTGTTATCTGTAAATTAAAGGGATGTTGATTAATGAACATGCTTAAAACAAGTAGAGTATCTCTTGCCTTTCTCTTCCTTGTCGCTTAGCAACAGAATTTCCCCCTGTGCAATCCTTGTTACTTCAGGAAGACTGTATCCACAATATCCTCTCAAAATTCTTCTACCTTTTCCTTTCTAGAAGCTTTTGCTAAAAGATTTGAGTAATTTCATCAACCCCTTGACAGACGTAATAAAGCAGAATAGGATAAGATCAAACAGTCATTCACTTTGTCAGTGTAAACTTTGCCAGATTCATCAGAAGTGTGTTAAGCCTGATAGTGTTTATAATGAAAATTCCTTTTGTGAAGAATATAGCAAAGAAAAAAAAACAGCTGGGTTAGGAATTTAGGGCTTTTAGCTCCTTTGAACACATCCAAGGGATTTGCAGTGATATAATACCTTCTCAGTTTTGGATATCTTAATTGCACCAGACTTGCTCTGTTTTCTAACGAATACGTAACTTACTCCACAATCTCTGTTTCTAAATCAACCAAATGTGCAGGTTGTTCTGTCTACATGTAGGGAACCCCCCAAGTAAACAGAAACAAGAAACAGTAGCAACCTTCCAATACCTGAAGGGGCTACAAGAAAGCTGGGGAAGGACTTCTCATAAGAGCAGTTAATGACAAAACAAGGGGAAATGGGTTTAAGCTGAAAGAGGGGAGGTTTAGATGAGATATTAGGAAGAAGTTCTTCACTGTGAGGGTGGTCAGACACTGGAACAGGTTGCCCAAGGAAGTTGTGGATGCCCCCTCCCTGGAAGTGTTGAAGGCCAGGCTGGATGAGGCTTTGAGCAACCTGGTCTAGTGGAAGGTGTCCCTGCTGCTGGCAGGGGGGTTGGAACTTGATGAGCTTTAAGGTCCCTTCCAATCCTAACCATTCTATGATTCTATGAAATACCCACAGCTGCCCCTCAAAACCTGAGTGTTGCTGGTTTCCTTGGTTTTTTTCTTGGTTGCTCAAAATGGTGGGAGTTCTGTGAAGGCAAAAGAGTTTATATGCTGCTTCTACATACAGTCTCGATTTTAATAGTTCAAATCTTGAATTATGCCTTTTAAAAAATCTATTCCAGTACGAGAAACAAGCCTTCTGGAAATTAAAGAAGATACAGAACTGGATCCAGAGGAGAACAGCACTGTCTTCATGGGCATACTCATCAAAGGGCTGGCCAAGCTGAAAAAGATCCCTGAAACGGTGAAAGCCATCCAGGATCGCTTAGAACAGGAGCTCAAGCAGATTGTTAATCGATCCACAACCCAGGTGGCTGACAATGGTTACCAGAGAGGGGAGAATCTTTCCCAGGAAAATCAACCTAGGTAAGGATATTCCAACCACTGAAACTTGATTGCTGCAAAAAGAAGTGTAGAGGAGGCTGTTTTAACTGCAAATTGCTATTTGAAGGAGTGACAATAATGTTTTTGCAGTAGCAGAGATCTGAAATGATAACGTTTTCAGAAATGCCTGTGTCTCCCTGAAAGGCTGATGTGCCTTGAGCACCTGAAAGGCTTGGGAATTTCAGAAATATATTCAGAAAGGGGAGGCACTGTTGCTTCTCAGCTTAAGGATGTAGGAAAGGGAGATGCTTCCTTCTGTGCTTGGCCCTAGAAGAGAATCTTTTGGCTAAACACATGTTTAAAATGCAGATTTGCAGGTGGAAGCACAGTAGAAGCCAGCATGATTTAACTAGCAAGAGGTGCATAATGTTAAACACTTGATTTTTATTTGATTTCTTTTGACCTAACCTTTTTTTTAAAGAGACATTACAACAGACTGAATTGCAATGCTGTCTCAGATTCCTGGTAGGTAGGTTGTAAAGAATACTTGGTGCCAAAACAAATACTATCTCCTTGTGCTGCACTGAATGGTGGCTTTCCACTGGTGCTGATGCCAAAGGAATGTTTGAGTTCCAACGTAACATGACTTGAAAAGAGAAGATTCAGATCAGTTATTTATTTCAAAAGTAGCAGAGTCCAGTTAAGCTACTGCAGGTGCAAAGCTTTGAAATCATGTGTGGAACTAATTATATCAGTACATATATGGACAAGTGTCTAATTGATTTGCGGATGCATTTACATTAATAACAAGGTGTGGAAACCAACCGAGAACTGTTTCTGCCATTCTTCAGGAGGGTTCTTCTACAGTCCCAACATTCAACCCATGTCCCTGAGGGCCTTGGCCAAATGCTGCTGGAATCTTGTCAGCCTTGGTGCCATGAGCACCTCCCTGGGGAGCCTGTGCCAGTGCTCCACCACCCTCTGCCTCAAGAACCTTTTCCTCATGGCCAACCTCACCCTCCCCTGACACATCTTCCTGCCATTCCCTCTGCTCCTGGCATTCGTTGGTGGCCAGAGAGAAGAGATCAGCACCTGCCCCTCCTCTTCCCCTTGGGAGGAAGTTCTAGTCCACGATAAGATCTCCTCTCACTCTCCTCTTCTCCAGGCTGAACAAACCAAGCGACTTCAGCCTCTCCTCATATGGCTTCCCCTCTAAACCCTTCACCAATTTTGTGGCCCTTTATCTGTGTCTACTTGAGGGCCAGATTTATGGGACAAGATTTTAGGGGGGATACAATGCCATAGCTTTGCTTTCAGTTGAAAATCTGACTGAGGAGGAGGAGGTATATTGACAATTTTGTTACTAAATCCTACTGATTGGATTGAATGCACTTTTCCGTATGTGTTCATAATACACTCTGGCTTTTTACCTCATCTCGAGCCTTTAAAATAAATACAGAAATTATATACGTGCTAACACTCTGACCAGGCAAAGGATGTTTTTGCTGCTAAAATGTGTGAATTGTCATTAGCGACCTCATTCAGGTGTCAGCAGTCACTCTGCATCAGTTCATTCTTTGTTATTGCATGGACAATACAAGTTGCTTCTGGGTGTGTGTCACTGTCTCTCAGCATATTTACCATATTTCTCAGTGAAGGGGTTATGAGATGGCTTTGACAAATTGCCTAAGCCAGTCTCCTGTCATTCTCTGTATGTGTTCTGCTTTGGTCACTTGGTGCTGCAACCCCATACATGTAAAATCTAGGCCATATTATTTTATACTGTTTTGTTCTTGTTGACTGTCTAACACGGACTGTGTTTGTGTCTCTTTTGGGTCACCTTGTTTCAAAGATGATCTGACAGATTTAGAAGACTTGTAGAGAAAAGAAAATTAAGATAAGAGGTGTGGACTAATTTGAAAAGAGGGAGATGTGGAGATATGATGTGATCAAGAGATATGTGGTCGAGAATGGTGAATGTAATGGGGTGGTGGTTTGCACCACTGAGGAACATGGATGCGGATGATTTCACATCCATCAGTCTGTAGCATGAGAATAAGAAGATACTGGAATTTAAAATCAAATAATTCTGTTCAGTATAATATTTTAGTAATAGCTTCATAAAAAAGTTGATAATGTGAGGTCAAGCTCACCAAGGGACAAACAAAATGAATTTGTCAAACTATCCAGCTAGTTCAGTTCTGCAAAATTGTACTTTATTGGGGCAGCAAGGAGATAAATACGTAAGAAAATTGTCATTTGTGATGGGGTGTTAGTAGAAATTGGGCTTGCACTAACCTATTGTCTCAGTGACCTGTAATTAGTTTGCTCCCATAACTTTCTCTTTTTTAGTATTTCAACCAAGGGGGTATGTAAGTTTGTCCAACATAAAATTCTTCATGTATCCAAATTCTTTTACATCTGGTTTGCCTATTTCTGTCCGGCTTCTGGCTGACCACCCAGCTGCCTCTCTGTCACTTGCTGTGAGAAGTTCTATACATCTCCTGGGGGCTGTAGAAGGCATAGTTACCTCTCCCATGTCCTAGAGTAGGTTGAAGAAGATATTTGCTTAACAAGGTTGGAGGGTGTTTTTCAGGCAGCCTTATCTACATATTGTCCTGTCTCCTTCACCGATAGCATTGGTGATGGGCTAACAGTACTTGGGGAAAATGGAAGATATATTGGTCTTTCCACAGCAGCAACTTCTCAGTTTCACTTGGAGAGGATAGTTACTAAGATTTATACAAAGCCTAAATGGAGGAGGATGGCTTTTCTGCCACACTTTCCCATATTGAGAATGCAGTTTTGTTAATATTGATAACAGCTGTCTTTTCTGCTGCTCTCTTTACTATCATGTTCTATATACTTTTGTTTATCCCCTGCCAGCATCTTATTTAAATTTGTAAAGACCTGTAAAAAAGCAGTGTTTTCTCTCTTAGTACCAACAACACTTTTCTTTAGGCATTTGTTGTTATTCTTAAATACAGAGAAAATTGATATACACACCAGTTTCTTTTGGATTGCTTTAATAAGTGTCTTAGTTCCAGAGTCACTTAAGGTATGGCAATATTAATGTCCCTGGGTTTCTTACGAGTACCATGATTCCTAATCACATCTTTATTTTTAATATGACATACATCTGGCCACTTGTCCTGTTCTGCTATGCCTCGCTACCCTCCCAGATTTTTCCAGTGGCTCTTTCTATTGAATCAAGGTGCTCTTCTGCTTGACCATTTGATATGTGTAGTTGACATCATTGGCAGATGAATGGCCCATGTGAGATCCCCAAGAGATTGCTACAGGCTTGGGGGGGAGTGGCTGGAGAG